GCGCCTCGGCGTGCATGTAGGCGTCCTGCGCCTCGGCCCTGGTCTTGTTGGCCTGGATCGTCGGCATCAGGGCCCGCTTCACCTCCATCAGGTCCGCCACGCTGTGGAAGCTTAGCTTGAGGAACCTGGACGAGCCGTGTATTTGAGGATGGGTGGGTGGGGCGGGGGGATCGACGTGGCCACCCATCCGCGGCTTAACCGTCCTCGTCAATAAGAACACTCTCCAGCAACAAAGGCAACCGGAATAGCAGTAACAACAACAGCAGCAACAACAACAAGAAGCCACCAACAGCAGCAGCAAGAACAGCAACAAAAACAGCAATAACAACTACAAGCCACCACCACCACCAGCGTAGTGATCTTCGCAGCATACCCCTGGTGACAGCACTCCCCGAGAAAATGCGCAAGCCACACCCCAAACAACAACCTCCCACCACCGCTATCGCGACAGCTACAAACCCGTACCTTCTCAGCTTTCCCGAGAGGTGGTTGGGCATGTCGAGGTCCTCCTTGTCCACCACCGTAACCTCCACCGCTGAGTCCTCGAACCGCCGCCGTATGCACTGGATGCAGTCCTGGATGTACCGCTCCTCCTTCACCAACACGTAAAAGTACGGCTTGTAGAAAACCTTGGCCGAAAACAAAAAAGAACGACGCCAGAGGGCAAACATGAAGTGCGAGAGGTTATCATTCGGGAGGTTCGAGAAAAGAGGTTCGGTGCCGTTGGACGAGATAGCTTGGTATGCGCATGGGTGCTGAGAGCCTCGCCTCCATCGCTAGCATGTGTGTCCAAAGCCGACAGCTTGAGCGCAACGACTTAAAACTCGTCACACGGATTCGACGGAGGAAATAGTTACACCAGAACCTATGAAAGGACCCGCAGATACGTGGCGGAGCGCCCCGGAGAAGAATAACACAGAAGGGAGTTGAAACCGTCTACCAATTCTTCACATGAGTTGAGTTCAACCTACAACAGCCTCAGTCTCAAACGCCTGCAAAAGCCAAACAGACGGTTGACGCAAAAACCGAGGGGATACACTTCAGATTATCATCGACTCATTTGTTTTCTAGCACAGGAACGCCACCAGCAATGGAAGACCTCCGGGCTATTGCTATGTCACGCACAATAAAAAAAAAACTCTGCGTCACCGGCCGGTTTCTCAAAGAGAGAAGATGCGGCGACATATACCACGTGGTTTCGCGCCTGTCGCGGCACGTACGTACCGTAGCCTTGAAGGTGCCGCCATCTTGCTCCAGAAAGTACATGTCCAGCCCGCTCTTCTCGTTGCCGGAGGCGTCAGGAATGGACGTCGGCAGCATGTTGAAGATCCACCCTAGTCTCGGCGGGCCCTCTGAGTACCGATCGTACCTGGATGTACCGTTGAAAAAGGCCACAAAAAGAGTGGTTTAATGCACAGTGTGTGTGTGTGTGTGTGTTTGTGCCCTGATTTTAAGGTCGACAAAAAAGCTGGAAAAAGCAGCCACGGGTTGGGTTTTCGTATGCTGCTGACGTGTGTGTGTCGAACGGAATGAGAGCCTCGTGGTGCGATTGAAACATGTCGTTACAGGCGAGGTCTCTTGGCCTTAGATTACGAAATGGTTGCATCGTTGTTCCACGCTTGTACCCACCGAAGCTCGTTTACGTCCTGTACCTCTGAAGAGTATGGTAGGAAAGAGGAGGTCCTGGATAAAGGTGGCGACGTTATCGGTGTGAAGACAACGACCACAACAATGACAACAACCAAGGCGTCAAAATCACTTCTCCCACAATTCGAATGAGCGGGTGCGAGAGGCACCCACCATGGGCAGGCGCGTGGCGGCCCCACAAGCTGCAGCAGCACCGACAACAGTAATAACATGTCATAGATCATGTCTTCTCCAGCAACAATGTGCATCTGTAAAGGGAAGGCAATGCCGTATGAGTTTAAGGAATGGACGCTGTTGTCTGTTGTTTGTGTCTGCCTCTCGCGTCTATAAACAGCAACAGCGAAGGCGGAAGCGGCGGTGTTTGCTCG